CAAAGTGGGTTCCTCGTCATCGAATTTGATAATAAATCTTCAGAGAAAGTAAATTAGCAAAGAAACAAGGATTGGTTAATTACATTATCAAGGAATGATAGTTTCTTAGCAAATGAAAATCTATGTTTTGGGATGAGCAGAAAAATTCTAAAACATTTATGTTGTTTTTAAACAAAACTCTTCAGAGCTTCCTGAAATGTTTTTACATTTTCTTTACCAATTACACTAAATGGATGACAAAATATAAATTCTAAAATATTCTTGAGTAAAATAATCATTGAAATAAGTTTTCATTTAAGTTTTAAAACATGATATGCAGGTGTGTTCTCACTGATCATAGGAATGAAGCATAAGGACATTGTATACCTACAGCAATGAACTATACATTATTTAAGTCTCCACACAGATTCACGACTGATGAAATCCACAGAAGTTGACAATCTTACCATCTCAATTTGTCCAAAAGCCTAATAAAGTGTTTACCTGATTTTACAGTTCTCCACACAAATAAATTTATTTATTTAAATGTTTACATAGAACAGAAATATACTTTAGATAAAAATTATTTTATTGAGAAAATACTAACCTTGTATAGCCCATCATATCGAATACCATCTTCAGGACAGTATTCCGAGTGTTTCTTCCCTTTAGAACTACGCACTACTCGCACAGGCTTTCCTTCTTTCCAGTTCTTGGCTTCAGCACCTGTTTTAGCATTCAGAGGAGCAGCACAGTTTAAAGCTAACGCCCTAAAAATACGGATAAAAATTGATATTGCACTAATGAAATATTATAGAAGAAAGCTCAAGTAAAAAAACATCTTAACAAGGAGAATGACTACAAACATGCTTTCAATAAATTATATAAAGACTGATCTTGAAGTTATCTATTATCGAACAGCTATTTTGTAACATTATAAACTACTAGTTGTTCAACATGGTTAATGCCTTAAAGAAAATACTATAATATATTAAACCAAATCAGGGTTAGTACTAATAGATTGTTGTGAAGTATTATGTAACTAACACTTAACAAATACAAAAATTTAATTTAAAATCCATCCTTGCAGGCTATATTCCAAGTTATATGTTTGTTTGTTTGATGGGGGAGGTTGGATATGAGCTTGAGTACCCACACACTCCCTCCCAACTAACCCTGGTTACTAAGGTAACTCGCCTGACATATGGGCTTTATTAGACCTCACTGTCCTTGAACCTGTTGCAATCTACATTCAGATATTGTTGTGCTAGTTTTGATTGATTTTGGTATTAACATTTCTCTTCAAGTGATTGTTTGTTTGTTTTGAATTTCGCGCAAAGCTACACGAGGGCTATCTGCGTTCTCTTCAAGTGATTATACATACTAGTGTTGAACTGTATCACAAAGAAAACATTCTTTCACTAAGAATGTGCATCTAGGAGCTTGTTATCTATCAATCATACTTCTTGAAATACACCTTGTGTGATCAGGTTTACATTGTGGCTGTATGGTTAAGCCTAGTTCCCTCACTAGCTAAACATGAAAGAATAATGAATGCCTCATGTGATATTACATATTCTGATGATGCAATCACCATCCTTATTAACTCTTAAAATAAGAGTCAGTTTCAAATTCACTGCAGTGTAGAATATCAATATTTTTTTACTTATTGTTCTTAATAAATTAGTATATAACCAAAGTGGCATTCATCACAAAGTACTTTAGTTTTTAATTTTAAGTTTCATTAATTTTATAATTGTGCTTTTTATGAGGTTGGTTAAAACATTAAACTATTGTTGAAAATCTATATTCATATAACATTTTTTTTTCAAGGAAGCAATCTGCCATTGAATGTTATTCATTAATTTACATCTCATTAAGCACAAATCTTTGTCAGTTCTGCCACAAGGTGGTTTGGTTGGTTGTTTCGTGCTTTATGGCGCAAAGCAACGAGGCTATCTGTGTCAAACAACCAGTAAAAACAGTGAAAGTAAATTAGAATAAAATGTAAAATACATCGAGTTAAAACCAAAATATGTCAATAAAAGATTTATATACAATTAAAAAGACCTATAGTGCATAAAAAATTAAAAATACAATCTAGTCGAACAGTGTCACCATTACCAATGACACTATCCAACATCAGGGGTAAACTCTTAGAAAACGCATGTCTAAAATGGTACCGCCGCTCACGATCGTAACGATGGCACAAGAGTAAAATGTGGGCTATTGTGACTTGAGTATCATAATGGCTACACATTGGTGGGTCAATACCAAATAAAAGAAAATAATGGGTTAAAAAACTGTGACCAATGCGTAGCCTTGCCAGGACAACTTCCAATCCTTACAGAAGCAAGACGACCAAAAACTAACAGAAGATTTGATCTGGAAAAGCGACATTGTTCACCCCAAGTCGACTGCTAACTGGCACGAAGGCGAGCCTTGAAGACAGGACCGCAGTCCATGTATGGGACAGGCACGGCCATGATGGCACCAGAGCAGACGGACTTAGCTGTAGTGTCAGCGAGCTCTTTCCAGTGAATACCAACGTGGCCAGGTATCCAGAAAAACTGGATGAAAGCAGAAGATAGAGAAAATTGAGCCAGTCATTGTTGAATATCGACAAGAACAGGGTGAGAACTAATGTTAAGCGATTCCATGGCCAGTAGAGAGCTAAGAGAATCAGTGTAAATAGTACAATTACTGTACTGCATAGCTTCTACATGATCCAGGGCAAGAGAAATAGCATACAACTCAGCAGTGAACACAGAAACTGAAGAGAGGATCCTGCGAGCAACTACTGAGCCACAGCACACCATGGCAGAACCTACCGAGTTACCCGATTTCAAACCATCCGTGTAAATAGGAAGAGAAGAATGGCTTCAACGATGTTCAACAAAAAGAAGATGGTACTTCCAATCGGGAGTATCCGCCTTCCTCAGATGACTCAAGGAAAGGTCACAGGAAGGGATGGTAATAAGCCAAGGTGGAATGGGCTGATCATTGGGGACAGCAATGTCATCCAAAGCCAGACCCAGACCGTCTGTTCCGAAAGAGCATGGCACATTGTGGGAGAAACACACAATCCCAGGTGGGATGCTGTGGTAAGGATCGGAGCTTGGTAGCATATTGTAAAAAAAGTTGCAAACGATGGAGGTGAAGAGGAGATTTGTGGGACTCAGTGTACAAACTCTGGACTGGAGAAGTGCAAAAAAGCTCCGGTGCAGAGCTGAAATCCCAGATGGTAAACAGAGTCCAGCATCTTCAAGGCCGAGGTCCTGTCAGCACCATAGACCAAAGACCCATAGTCCAGTTTGGATCGAATGAGAGCACGATAGATCCTGAGTAAAGAACATCAATCCGCTCCCCAAGAGGTGGAAGGGAGGACACGGAGGATGTTCAGAGCCCTTGCACACTTGACACATAGCTGCTTGATGTGTGGAATGAAGTTAAGCTTATGGTCAAAGATAAGCCCCAAGAACTCTGCCTCAGGGACCACATGAATAACTATATCGCCGATACAAGCTCGGGATTGGAGTGGAGACCCTGTTGGTGGCAAAATTGCATGCAAACGGTTTGGAAAAAGAAAATTTAAAACCTAAAAATGGGTAAATGGCCACACAACCCATAGGAGTGGAGGTTCTGCAAAATTCCATACCTCCACATAGTATCATAAACCTTCTTGAGATCGAAGAACACAGAAACAAGGTGTTCTCTCTTGAGAAAGGCTTCCCTGATCGACGTTTCAAGTCGATTCAGATGGTCCATGGTGGAGTGCTGTCGACGAAACCTACACTGTGTGGGTGAGAGGAGCACGTTCGATTCCAGGAACCAAACAAGACGAGCATTAACCATCCTCTCTAGGACCTTACAAAGACAACTAGTCAAAGCAATGGGACGATAATTAGAAGGGATCTTGGGATCCTTCCCAGGTTTAGAGAAAGGGAGGATAATAGCCTGGTGCCA